ACCAGGATCCCCTATAACCAGGACCAGGATCCCCTATAACCAGGATCCCCTATAACCAGGATCCCCTATAACCAGGATCAGGATCCCCTATAACCAGGATCCCCTATAACCAGGACCAGGATCCCCTATAACCAGGATCTCCTATAACCAGGATCCCCTATAACCACAAGTCGTTTTTGGGGGGGTCACCTTCGGCGATGGCCCCCAGGACCAGGATCCCCGACTCCTTGACCACCCACTCGAGGTGGAAGAGCAGCTCCTTGAGCAGGGGCAGCAGGTGGGGCAGCAGCTCCTCGCGGAACACGTTGGCCAGGACGTCCAGGGCGGCGGCCGAGCACTTACCTGGGCACAGGTGAGGGGGTTAACGACCCCCCCAGAGCCCCCAAATCCCCCCAGCCCCTCACCCCCTCCCCCTTACGCAGGTTCCAGTCCGACAGGGTCTCGTCGTCGTCCTCGTCGTCGCCGTCCCCGTCGCCGTCCCCCCCCCGCTGCTCCTCGTGCGCCAGCGTCACCGTGCGCGACTTGTGGAACCGCGGCTTGATGTCCTGCTCGCTGTCCGGCACCGCCTCGTCCTCCTCCACGTCACCCTGGGGGGGATCGCGGCGTGACATCGTCACATCGTGACGTCATCGTATCGCGGCGCGACATCGTCACATCGTGACGTGACATCATCGTATGGCGGCGTGACATCATCACATCGTGACGTGACATCATCGTATCGCAACGCGACATCATCGTATTGCAACGTGACATCATCGTATCGCGACGTGACATCATCGCATTGCGACGTGATATCATTGTATCGCGGCGTGACATCATCGTATTGCGGCGTGACATCGTCACATCGTGACACGACATCATGGCATTGCGACGTGACATCATCATATCACGGGGTGACATCGTCACATCGTGACATGACGTCATCGTATCGCGGCATGACATCGTCACATCGTGACATGACATCCTCGCATCGTGACATGACATCGTCACATCGTGACATGACATCATCGTATCGTGACATGACATCGTCACATCGTGACATGACGTCATCGTATCGCGGCATGACATCGTCACATCGTGACATGACATCATCGCATCGTGACACGACATCATCGCATCGCGGCATGACATCATCCCATCGTGACATGACATCATCGCATTGTGACGTGACATCGTATCGTGACATGACATCATCGTATCGCGACGTGACATCATCGTATCGTGACATGACATCATCGTATCGCGACGTGACATCGTCACATCGTGACATGACATCATCGTATCGCAACGTGATATCGTATCGTGACGTGACATCATTGCATCGCGACGTGACATCATCGTATCGCGATGTGACATCGTCACATCGTGACATCATTGTATTGCGGTGCGACATCATTGCATTGCGACGTGACATCATCGTATCGCAACGTGACATCGTCACATCGTGACGTGACATCATCGTATCGCGATGTGACATCATCGTATCGTGGCGTGACATCATTGTATTGCGACATGTTATCACATCGCAGCGTGACGTCATCACGTCGCAATGTGATGTCATCATATCGTGACGCAATGATGTTATATCGTGACACTGTTGTATCGCGACGTGACGTCATTGAACCGCAACATAACGTCATCGTATCGCGAGATGATGTTGTTGTATCATAACAGGATTTCATAGTATCACAACATGACGTCATCACATCCCCACATGACATCATCATATCGTGACGTGACATCATCGTATCGCAATGCAATGTCATCTTATCGTGATATGATGATATCATATCGTGATGTGACACCGTCGTATCGCGACGTGACGTCATCACACCGCAACATCATCATATCGTGAGATGATGTTGTTGTATCACAACAGAATGTCATGGTATTGTGACGTGACGTCATCACATCCCGACATGACATCATCACATCACGACGTGACACTGTCGTATCGCCCCGTGATGTCATCATATCATGACGTGAGGTCATCGTGTCGTGACATCATTGTATTGCGATGTGATGTCATCGTATTGTGATGCAACGCCATCGTGTCGAGACATCGCTGTATTGCAATGTGACGTCATCGTGTCGTGACATGAGCTCATCGTATCGCGACATCATCGTATTGCAACATGACATCATCATATCGTGACATGAGCTCATCGTATCGCAACATGACATCATAGTATAGTGACATGACCTCATTGTATCACGACATGACATCATCGTATCGTGACACGAGCTCATTGTATCACGACATGACATCATCATATCATGACATGAGCTCATCGTATCGCGACATCATCGTATCGTGACATGAGCTCATCGTATCGCGACATCATCGTATCGTGATGTGATGTCATCATATCCCAAAGTGACATCGTTGAATCAAAGTGACGTCACCGTGTTGCGACACAGCCCCCCCGGATCAGACAGTACGAACACAACAACAACTCCCATCACGGGGCTCAGTCCAGGGGGGTCATCATCTCCGGGGGGGTGGGGCTCCCAGTGACACCAGTGCCCCCTCCCAGTGACACCAGTACGG